GGGACCCGGCCCGGAGCCGCACGACGCCGGCACGGACGGGGCGCGCTGGCCCGTGCGCCGCGGGAGAAGCTCCTCCGCCCTCTGCGCCTCGGGCGGGCGCGGGACTCTCGGTCCGTCCGCCGCTGTGCGCCCCGGCCCTGTGCGCGGAGGCAGCGGCCGCACCGGCAGCCCGAGGAGATGGAGAATCGCTTTAGCTCCTTGTCCTCCTCTGGTTTYCCTGTCATTCTTCTTGACTCTTAGTTCGCCTATTATTTTCTCCTTTTATTTCCCTCTTCCTTCTCTTTCTCCTCTCTTTTCCGTTTTATTTCGTTGTTCTTTTTCCCCGCGTTTCGGCGTGCCGCTGGCAGGTGCCCGCGAGCGAGTGCAGCCAGCGGGACAGTCCCGGAGCGCCGCAGAGGCTCGTGTCCGCGGCAGACGGGAAGGAGCTCGGCGGAGGACGCCGGCTCGAGGCTGCGCGCCCGCGGAGCCGTTCCCTGCTGAGGCCCGTGCGCGGGAGGGCTGCCCCAACGGAYCCGAATAGAACCGACGGCGTGTTCGGGGCAGCCATCCCGAGCATCAGCCCCATGATGAGTGGAAATTAGTGTGAAAAAGCAGTATTTTACCGCATTTTCGTGGACCTGATTCTGTGCTGTTCCCGCAGCTGAACCTCTCCTGTTGCTTTTTTATGCCTTCTGKTTTTTTTCCTCTTTGTTTACCCCCCGTCTTCATGGGGTTCTTGTGCATTAGCAGAAGAATAGGAGAACACTTCAGTGGCCTTTGATTCGGTTTTTAATTCCCAAAAATTTTGCAGCACAGAAGCACGAGTACCTTATAAGGTACAGGAAAGGTAATACACCCTGGAATTGAAATAGCTGCTTCCTTGGGGCTTCGGTCCTGTCCYTCTCCTCCATGCAATCACATTTTTAATTTTACACATGGAGTCTGACAGGCATTTGCCAACCTGTACGGCTTGGGAAGGACATGATGACTTTGTATGYTGGCTCAGGAAAGTCAGGCTGCGTTCATTTTTCACAGAGGAGTGAGGCGTTTTCCAGCTGAAGCACTTGTTTTTTGTGCAAGTCAGACATCCTGCAAGTATGAAATCCCAGAAGCTGAGGAGGGGGAGAGGACCCATTGGATACGGTGTTTCACTATTTGACTTGCTCTTCTCAGCCGGGGCASAGCWYCTGGTGCCCCTTTGAAGACCCTAARTGTTGAAAGCAAACCTTTCAAGTTTGCAATAGCTGCGGGGAGAAGGAGAGTGGATAGCATTTGAGGTACCCACTTGAGCAGCGACACACGTAACCAGGGGATTTTGGTATCYCTGCCTGCCCCTGCATGTGCAAGGGTGCGGAGATGCGGTGTAGCACTGACATCCTCAGGGCAGGGTGAGCCCTCATGTTCCCTGCCTGTGTGGCGCCTGCCAGGGGTTGTGGTCTGACTGCTACCATTGCCACTAGCCTGGCTCGATTGCCAGAGCTGGGTGGGAGGTGAGAGGTACAAAGGCAATTGGAAARGTGTGGCTGGCTCTTCAAACTAGAGTGACCCCGAAGGATGGGTGATGGGAACCTCCACAGCACTGCCATGGCTGTGGGGCAGCACAGGTCCATGCCTGGGCACCTGACAGAAAAAAGGGCCTGAGCCAGAATTCAGAGACTCCTAGTGAGTCAGTATCTGCATGTGTTAACAATAAAATGCAAAAATAAAATGTCAGAGTGATAGGAGAATGAGACACGTCTAAGAGTACAGCAGCTTGGCAGGGATGCTCTGTGTTGCATCACCCTTTTCCCACTCGAGGGCTAGGATGCTTTCTGCTCTCCCAAACCTCCCACCATCTTAAGAATTAAAAAAGTTACAGCTGAGCCAGCCGAACTTTTCCAAACCTATGCAAAGCTATGCTTCAGTCATGCCTGTATCCGTATAGAGCAATACCTGTATCCGTATAGTGCTGACACCAGGCAGGTATGGCTGGACTGCACTCACTTCAAAACCAGGCAGGTAGGAACAGGGCAGGCAGTGATGCACAGGCAGTTTAGTAGAAAAGCCCAAAAGATCACTTGCTAGGAAAATGTTGAAAATCCTGACCCTATCTATGCGATGTTCTAAAAGCTTTAAAATGACTACAGGTAATGTCAMAAGGCATTGAACCAGCTTGATACCACTTTTTACAAACTGGTTAATTGTTGGTTCATCTGAGGGAGGGTAAGGGATGGCACATCATAAAATCATAGAATAATYCAGGCCAGGAGGCAMCTCTGCAAAACTGCTTTCAGGTCACGTGGAACTGCTGGAAGCATTTGCTAGTCAAAGCCAAATGCAATCTCTCCTGCCATGCTGATTACTCCTTGCTCTCCTCCACCCAGTGTCCAGAGTTTCCAATCTCTTTTGGGGCCATTCAGSTTGGGTGAGAGCTGGCAGGGGCTGCCCAGCCACAGGGTGAGGCCGGGTAATGGTACTTACTGCTCTCTACAGAGAAGGCTCTGGGGTTTGCTCCCAAATAGAAATACAAGTTCCCTCTAGAAGGGGGAAACGATAACACTTTTTTTTTTTGTTTGCAGCAGATTGCAAAGGCAGTAAAGGCTGATTCTTTTGGAGCCAACCATGGATTAAGTCCATTATAAAATTAAAACAGATGGAGCGCAATTTCACTTACATTACAAAAAAAGGACAGGAACCATCTGCAATAAGATTTAGCATTGCAAAGCTATTGTTATCATGTTACCATTAAAACCTTTGATGAAGAGTTTTCTTTCTTTCACAAACTTGTTCACAYGAAACAAATGTTTTATTTATTCATCTTCCTAAGATAATCATATTTTATTTAAAAATATGTTGTCTCTCAAAAAACCAGCTCTTGGTTCTAGCAGAGTATGGCAAAACAAAGGAATGTTGTAAAACTCCAGCATTGAGACACTGGGAGCTTCAGTGGGGTAGATGTAGCAAAAGGAGAATTCTGTATCCATTTTTCCTTTAAAAAACATTTCCTTTTGTTTGGGCACAATGTCTGATACTGAAAATAGATAATTAATGAGATAATGGGATACTGCATGTCACCTCCTGTCCAATGGGATTATCTGATGGCTAATTATGGACAGATTGTGATTAATGTGATTATGGATTGGATATTAATCTGATTCTGGATTGATCTAGTTATGTTTTAGTCTGCTCCAAATGGTTAATTGGATCTGAGATAATAGAAATGCAGCTTGCACCAGATTTTGCCACATCAGTTGATGAAGTATCTTTTGATCTGGGTGGGTTGCGAACAATAAATTATTTACAGCTGTTGAGAAAATGACTCTTCCTTAGAATGTAGTCATTCATTTTATTTTTGAGAGCCTTTGAAAACAAAATCAATATCCTTTCTAAAAGGAGATGTTGACAAAAGAAAGGCACGTACATAACTCACAAACAAATGTGACGAAATTAAACAGTGGTTAACCCGGTGGCCTAATGTCTGGTGATGCATTTGAATTGCTATGTGGAGCTTTGGGCTCAATTCTTCTGAGACCAGCAGGGGTTGGGAGCATTGCAGGGGAACAGGGCCCAGCGCTGGGGAAAGTGGTGTTGCACAAGAGCTACTGCCAGCCCTGCTAGTGATTAAGAATCAGCCATGGTAACATGGCAAAGTGAGCCTTTGCCATTTTTCCCTCTGGATAAGGAGGATTCAGAAAGTTCATGAGTGCAGAAAAGACTTATTGGCCCATCTCCTCTGGCTTCCTTCATGCCAGACCATGCAATTGGATGCAGAATTATTTTTTTCCCTCACAGTGAGCCTGTTAATTTATGGTTGACCTCAGTCATGTCTCCCAGAGATACATCTGGTCTTGGTGTCGCCTGCCAGTGCAGGGGAGGCTGCCTTGGTCTTGCATCCTGCTTGTCAACTACTTTCACTGAAATGGACCGCTAAGTGTGTAGTTTAGGTTCAACTCCCAGACAGTGGATCTCGTTATGCCATTATCTGCAGGATTAAATGCAATGGGCAAATTGTAGACTTTGTAGACTTCATCTTGTGACAGGGCAAGCAGGAGGTACATTAGCCTTTGTCACCTGATGCTATAAGAGGCAGGTAACTTCACCAGAAGGTGCCCTTCCCTAACAGGCTCTGCAATAAAAATATCAAAAATCAGACAGGTCCCAAAATATTGAAAACAAGCTTACTGCATCTGGTGTGCTTACACAAAAGTGCTATTGACTGAGTTGAAACAAAGAAAAAAGGAAAAACCAACTTTCCCTGGAAAGTCCTTAGAGGCATGGAAAAAGCAGTTCCCCTGGGGTGACTGTCCCTGCTGCTGCTAGGAAGGTTTGGGCTGGCATGAATGGGAATRCAGAGGCATCCGTATTCCTTTCCAGCAGTGTAATGGGCAAAAAAAAGAGCAGCTACCTCTTTAAAAAATAATGCTGCTACAACCTGTCAGAGAATTTCACACACATCTGCCATTAACGACAAGGCAAGCTGCGTGCAGAAGGAGGGTGGCAGATCACAAAACCCCATCCAGGTATCTGCACTGGGAGGGGAGCAGAACTCTTCTCACCAGCATTGTTTCCCTTGTCCTCCACACAAGCCACCATCACTCCTGGGCAGGACAAGCTCCCCTCTGAGGGAGCTTGGTAGAAAAGGTTTTTTGCTTGTGAGCTTGGTAAAAAGGGTTTCTTAAACTCCTCAAGTGACCTTGTTCTTTAGGGAATATGCAGCAAATATGAKGTTACTTTGAGACTCCCTTGTTACTTGACTGGCACATGGAAATTATTACCAAGAGAGAGGAATTCATAAAAAAAAAAGAAAATACCTTCTTACAGTGGTTTTATAGGCTCAGTATTAGAAGGGCTGTCCCTGCTAYGGGGTGGCTTTGGAGGAGCTCTTTCCTCTGTCCCCCACTTTGTAAACGGGGCTTGTGGCATTGTCCCCTTCCAGAGGCTGCTGTAAGGCCTCATGAAAGATCAGCTGCTGCTCTGAGCCATGCAGGTTAGTGGTTGTAAGGTGATCTGGACAGAGTACTAAGGACACCTGTGGTGGTGTTGAGATGAGTTTTTGTGCCAGCGAGCACAAAATGATGTGGCAGCACTTTGGGGATACACGTCCCTTCTCATGTACAACCTGTGGCTGTGGGCAAGGGGTGAGTTCAGGAGGACTGGCAACATCCTGGGGTGGCTGAACTGCTTGGACCCTGCGTGTACACAGCATCTGGGCATAAAATATTTCAGCAGCAGAGATCCCTCCTGCTGCTGCTTCCAAGGTGGGTTT